GAGACTTCCGTCTGAACTGCACGATGACGACTGGCAAGCCGACCAATAGGTTCGGATGTACCACGACGGGGTCCGACGCGCCCAAAAGCATCGGCTTCCCAAACCTCGGTAGTCAACTTTTCGATAGGAAGTATAATGACTATTGCGGTCCGATTATCCTGAGGGAAGACCGATCTTGTGTAACTTCTGAGCCGAACTCGTTACGCTGGTTTTGGTGCACTTTGATTACCCTCAACACGGTCTTGGACTCCTGGCAACTATTGATCATAATTGCATGAAGTAATGTGAAAACCAATTTTCAATGGCTTTCCCTTTCTTCAACCCTCCCCCCCTCCCACCCTTCCATACGGGACTCACTAACGTTAGGCCTAAGCCTAACCAACAGACTGCCTTTAGGTTACGCCAAGGCCTACCTTTTTTCTTTCAAAACTCAATTCTCGAATTATGGGGCCAATTAACCCTATAAGGGTGAATCCGTGGTCTTCGAGACATCTCGTCGAGGACATGTAACATTAGACCGATTTGAGGTCTGTTGAAATGGTTCATGAACCATTTCAGTGGGACGTGAAACTTTAGGCCTATCTGGAGTTCCTCGAACCATCTCGAATAGGTCTTGATCTGAAACGTGACTGAACGATTATGTTTCAGAAATTCAACTTTTACGCATTGCTTCCTCTCGCGTAAAAATAAAAAGAGACGTCATTTAAGCTTCGTTGAAGTTTTGTGGTGAGTCCATGACATCTAGTGAAAAGCCTCAGCGAGGATTTCACTTTGAAATATCAAAAGTGAAATTTGAGGGGTGAAATCATCTCGTGGAGATGAGAATTTGGTGATTAACTATGAGATAATTTCATGGATTCTGGCTGTGAAACGCTGCTCCGTCCTCACGGAGTTAATAGTTTATCGTGATGAATTAATTACCTACCGTAATTCAACATGCATGAAATTTCACGGCAATCGGAACAATCTTTGATAGTAATGGCCAATGTTCATTTGTATCTCTCTGGCCGTCGACTGGAGGCCTGCTCGGGTCGAACCGATCTGACTGCAGCCCACTTAGGCTTCTAAGGTACTGAAATCGGGATCTCGGATGCCAAGAGGCATGAGCGTAGCATGGGTTCAAAAAGTGTGGGGGATGGGGGGATGGGGGGGGGGGGGGGGTCACGAAAACTCTAGGATATTGTTATGCGCTTCATGGGTCTTTTCCTTTTGTCTTTCTTGAAAAGTGGGGGATTTTTTGCTTTTAACAATTATTCCTTACTATTTTACTCCATGCAAAGGAGTAACCCCTGAAACTCCACGGTGCCGTGTCCGATCGCCTCCGTTGACGTCATCACTGTCATTCCAAACATCACGATTGTTGAGGAAAATCTTAATGACGATGATGAAATCGTGGATCACGAAATCAATAGTCAAAAACTAATCTTAAACCCTTCCGTATTCGTCGACATTTCTTTGAATGAAAACCCGGCGAAGGGCCTGGCGTGATCCTAGAAACTCCAGGACTTGAATGTGAAGCCTTTTCGCAGCGGAAGTGACTCCGTGGAGCCGCGAACCAAGCGACATCTTACTTCTGTTCTCAGAATCTTGCTTTGCCTGAGTATCTGCTAGATGACGGAGCTGCTATTCATTTATTTCATCTCGTTTTCTTAACTATATCAATTGACCTTATACACCGATTCACTAACGTATAGCTCATGGAAATTTTTACTTGTTCGTCCAAATCTTTCTAATTTTAATTAAACATCAGTGGATGCGATTGGACTCTTATTTTCCATTGCATATTGCAAAATTATTTTCCGTGAAAATGCGGAAAACGGTGCCTTTGAGAAAGTTTTTGTCACGCACAAAGGAAAAACCCTCTGATGCTAAGGAACCCACGGATAATATAGCACTGCTATCCAGTGGTTCGGCTGCTAACGCACTCACAGACGATGAAATCCAATTTTTCGTGGTGGTCAACGCATTTACTTTTGCATTATGATTTATCTTTGTTGGGTAAGGCTTAAGTCACTCTGGCTTGTATTAACCAGCAAAAATGGGCATTTCTTGTTTCCTCCTTATTGCTAGTTAAGAAGAAAAAGATTAATTGAGCTGGTCGTTGACGTGTCAACTCTGGTATTTCCTTTTATTATAATTGGATTTTTTCCCCAAGACTGTTTTCCAGTTGCATTGACTTAAAATTAATAATTCAAATAAGGAACTTCCACGAAAATTCATTCTCTTTTCTCTGTAATATTACATAGACAGAAACCAGTCCCTCCAATTGCAGGATTTGGAGGTCACGGTTAAACCTCGCATAGCAAATTAAATTTAATGTTCTATGTTGGTATGATACTAGCATGCCCTTAAAATGTCGTTCCTGGGCCTTCCTGAAACAATACTCGAGAGAGCAAAGAGAGAGCCAAGGGAGTGCTAATTTGAAATACGGCTTTTCTGCCCAGTCTGGACGGTCTCCGTTCCCTCCCTGTTAACATCCAGATGCCACTCTCAACGCCATCCTATTTCATTCACGATGGCACGAGTTCCTGGCTTAAATACGAGTAAGAACATACGGATCGATGCAAGACTGCAATCGATTACCACTTGGCTCGTATTCTAGCAAATTGGTTTGGCAATCAACGACCATACCCCCGCAAAAAATCTTACTTCCACGGATGGAAGAATGAAGAAAGAAGTACTCCGCAGTAGAAATATTGTCTAATGAAGGAACTTGAATGGAGATAAAAGGGATGCGTCAAGATCAGTCATCATCGCTGAAAACCCCCATTGTCTCTCTCTATTTGGTCGCGTGCAGCAGAAACAAAGGAGACATCCACCTGCACTCCGCCGATTATTTTCATCGGGAGGAATGGGGAGTGGAGGTGGTCTTTCACCGTGGATGCGACCTCCCTTGAGATCATGAAAACTGTCTCGAAAGGGAAACTGATCCGTACCTTTAGATGTGATTCGGATGTGTCGAGTTTAGTGAATTTGGATTCAGGGATGCGACAGAAACTATTGTAACGGAGTCCCTGACAACGGGTTGACACAGTGACTGAAAAAGTATGTCAAATTGAGCTCATTCCATTCTGCATTGATCTGTCTGTCGCTTCATTTCAGAGGATATGACTGGTCTATTTCATGATATGAAATAACGAATTGAATTGAAGGTGCTGCATTCCGAATTTTTAGAGATGCGGGTGCAACATTCATCAACTGAGATTAAGTCTTTCTTTGTCAACCGTTTTTGAACCAGCTATCAACCGTTTTGTCGGAATTGACAGGACTTTGATCGATGCCGAGTTGAATGAGCTTCCATTCGCTGTGTAATTTTCAGTTGTCGTGCCTTTTGGGGATATTCCTTGCAAAATGTATGTAGCATCTTGCAAAGAACCCTTCCAGAATTTGCATTCAATTGCTAAAGGATAATCTTAATCTGAGACCAAAGGTCACAGATTTTTCTCGTAATCTGGGCTTCTCCGTCTGGGCTCTGTGCATAACATCCGTTAATTTGCCTCCCTCGGGATAGGTGAAATGGAGAAAATATTTTCCTTATGCTTTCAATTTTTTCTTCTCTTCAAAAGCCCCTGTGAGATGACGCCACCCGTGCAGGTTATCACAGGTATGCACTGAGAGAGTTACCTTACAGTTACTTTCAAATTACTTCAGAGTATAAGAGTTACCTTCAAAAGGGATTTTTCACATACGAGCAACATGAAACCATCGCGGGTGAAGCAGCTTTCGGATCTACAAACACGGATATTTCAGTTCTCCAACGAGATTATATTGTCAATATCGGCTGGAGAATCCATTTCACCTTCATGTTTAATTATGAACTCCCTCCACCCCCTCCCCAATCATAAATGGGGGAAGAGAGCTGCGGAGGACTTTTTCGGATTCATCCTTTCCCTTCGCCGATTAGTCCTAAATTCTACTAAGTACTCCACTTAGAATTGGCCGAGGGAGTTGAACAGAAGCATCCAGCATCTCTCGTGAAGTGATAGGTACGGCGTCAATATTTTATTGAATATAGAAATATTCATCGTTCGCCAGATTTATATTAAGTGAAAGACCTTCTGGATTGTCTTCAAGGTTCACCATGTGGGACAATGGACGTCTTGGAAAAGTGGAAATCTTGGAAATATGTTTTCCACCTTTCCACACAGAGGCGATACACCGTTGAATTACTGCTTGGATTTGATGTCAACTGTTCGTGGATTATTAGGCTGATGAAAACGGGGCGAATTTCAGATCCGTTCAGCTCTTCCAGTCCCGCCTGTGACTATCAAAATGAATTATAAACACGGCCAGGAGCCAAAACTTTTTTAAAGCCTGTTTCAAATATGTCCACAGGTCAAGCGCCATATAATGAGACATACGAGCTATACTCACGGCAAAAACCGGCAAGAAGAGAAGTGTGAGCACATCGAATGACAACTTCTGGTCTCACAACTTTTGAAGTCAAAGCGAAAAACCACACGAACGGCGAAGATTGGGAGGAAGAAAAGAGCAATTAAAATTTTCCATGATAATTTATTTTTATTTCATCACGCCATTCCGTCCACTGTGGCACAAACCGTCGTCTTGATAGTCTCTGAATCGTTCAGGAACAAACCCCAACAGCACATAACATTGAATCAACATTGGTTCAATGTTGATTCAACATCCGGATGCTGAATCAACGTTGAATCAATGTTGTTTCAATGTTCTTGGCTACTAGGGAGTCAGACCCCCCAAAAAAATTGATTGGGGATTTAAGTTTAGTTTAGATTAAGGGTGGATTTTTGAACAGAGCACTATACGATAATGTAGCTTTATTTACCGGATTGATAATGCATTTTCTCTGAAATAATGCTAGTGGAAGCCTGCTTCGCTAGCAGTAACTTCGACCCTTCCCCACCCCTCCCCACCCCACCTCTAACGCAAAGGACTGAGACATGAGATTACCTTATTTCAACTTCTAATTTTCAAAAATTTCCATGAATAAATAATTTCCAAGAGCTTCCACTTCAGAAGAAGTCATATCCAATTTTTCATTTTATTCGTCAGTCCCGTTGAGAAGTTCCGCTCCAAGGTCCCTCTCAATCCTCGGTGGAATTGAAATAATCCTGTTGACGTTTGAGGCCATTCTCGTATCCATCGACGAGAGTCTCGATGAGGAAATCGATGGTGACTCTGTAGATGGCTTCGATGTTCGGGGTGTATCGCTCCTGCAGCGTCTCTCGCACCGCACACAGGAACGGTCCTTTGATTTTCTGGACGAGAGAACAGCATACCCATCCATGTAAAGCCGACTCTGAAGGAAAGAGACGTGGAAAGATTGGGACATACCCGGAAGTTTCCCTTCTCAAATCCCGGTATCCGTGCGTGAGTCTCCCCGACCGCATGAAGGTACTGGAAGAACACGTCCAGGTCGTCTAAGGACTTGATCCCGTTGTCCAGAGTGGCGATGGCGTTCCTGGCGTGGTCCGCCAGTTCCATCCTCTCCGCCTGCTCGTCTTGGGCTTCCAATCCTTGGAATTTCTCGAACTGGTTCAAGAGCTCGCAATGGTCTACGAAGAGTCTGCGAAAATCATATGCGAAACTCACATGAGCCGGTGTATAAATCGGAGGAATCGAATGCGATGAAGATCCCTTCCCAATCTAGGAATTTCAGCCTTTGTGCGTCAGTGAAGGAAAAAGTTCTTTGAGTTCTTCTCGTCTCTTTTGTCTTTCACTTTTGTGAAATGACTTTCTATCCTATGCATAGAAATATGCTAATACAATCCTGAGAGGCCTGCAAGTGACGTGCTCGATTCAAAGCTCCGCCTACACACATTTCCCCTTACAAAGCATGGCGTAACGTTTCCTTTCGGCCCTTTTTTTCCTTGTTTCTTGGTGTATGAGGGAATAGTTTAATATTTTCACTTTTTTATTCTTTAGTCGAGTGAAGTGCTTGCAATGTTGAACGAGAATGCTGCCCTCGAGGTGTCGAACTTGGTTTTAAGCAGTTTGACTTCGTTCACTGTGGCCTTACATATGTGGATACATTCCCTAAAACTGGACGGGATGCAGCAAGAATTAATAAGCTTAGGTATGAAACTATTAACACGTGCTGTATATTGTCTGAAATTCTTTCACAACTACTTCTTCAGGATTTCCATGCATTCAATGAAAGAAAGCGTAAAACGAAAAAGTACGAACACCTGAAGTCGAGCGCACTCACCCCAAAGCCGAGTCTAACATCCGCGCGTTCGACTTCGCCTTCAGGCCGGAGACTGGCAGAGCGTTTGTGCGCATGCGCAGCGAAAGAAGTCGTTGCCCATTTCACGTGACACTCTCAAGAAATTAATGGACAATATCATTTTTTGCTGTCGCGACTACGTACACGTTCAGGGAGGTCACTTTCAAGATTTTTTTATTTTTCAGAGTGAGATTTCTGGAAAGGAATGGACAATTGTATACCAGTGAATATCCAAATTCTGTAGTTTGTATTTGTGATGTAGTGCAGTTTTCATTTGCAGAAATACATATTTTGCCATCATATTAAATGGTATCACTACATAAAGGTCACCCAGTATTTAGGAGTAAAGAGACAAGGAAATTAAAATCACACTCCTTCACCATCCCCTTAGGAACCATGAAGCAGTGTGGTTTTAACTCTTAGATTCCCGTAGGAATCCCATGGGATTCCCCTTGGAATTTTACATTTGGGCATTCTAAATTACCATAACACTAGGTAAAGCAAGAAAACCCTTTGCTTCAAAATAATTTTGACCCCAAGTTCAGTGTTTCCAGAGGGTTATGGACCTGAACTGCCTAGCTAAAAAATTATTTGCGAAATAACAAAAAAATTGCATCAATGAAACTTTGCTATACTCTAGCTAATATACTGTATACGTATGTGCTTCGACTGCAATGATCCACAATGTCATTTTCAAGGTCAAAGGTTTCTCAGACGTTCAAACATGCTAAAATAGTTAATATTTTAAAATCTCGGTTCTGGGTGGGTCATTGGTGACGACCAATGACCCAGAGGCATTGCGATGACCCGCTCCTTCCACCGCCTCCTCCCCTCCAACCCGTCTGTGACACGCCACAGTTGGCATTGTAAATACGTAAGAGGGTGGTAAGCTTGCCAATTCAATTCATTTATCGTTATTTTGTGCTTAACCCATAACAACTCTTACGAGCAGCCACTTTTGCTTCATAAATTTTTAATCATCCCAATTCCATTTTTTTCTGTAAGCTTTTATCCTTGAGTGTGCTCTCAGAACGCTTTATGAGGTGCCATAGCCCTTTTACTTTTCTCTGTTTTCTGGCTCCGTAGTCTCGCTGCATTCTCTTCGTTCTCTTTGACCTGCGGCAGAGCCACCCGTTTCGGCAAGTCCGCTGATAGAAAGAGATCGGCCTTCGAGAGCGGGCCGAGTCTCCCACACTTTCCGCAAGGTCGCGTTCGTCGCTAGATGATTGATGAATGGGGCAGGGGAGCCAGTCTTTTCCTTGAAAAAATGAAACGGCTCCGTCGGTCACCCGTCATCATTCCCTCGTTAGGGACGTGCCTGATCCAACCATGTTCATTCTCTATACAAGGACTTTTCCCAGAATTTCTTAATGTTTTCTGGATGACTGCACTCCTGCGCATCCTCGGACATCGTTCGGAATTGTAAAGGTCTAATTAAGAAACAAGAAAACTAAGAACTCCTAATCCATTTCTTTAAAGTTTATTTTGATCTGTCACATAGAAAGAAGAATTATCTTAAGATTCAAGATGAATTCAAGCTATTCGTTTTTTGTTGATTTCTCTTGATTGCCATACCTGTGCCTGCCTCTGGTTGCGAAGAATATCAAGACACGGCTCAATATTTAAAGTGAATCCTCTTGTGTCATATTTAATGCTCCTACGGAACTTCTACTATATTTTATGTGGCCAGAATAAGAGACAATAGACACACGAATGTGGAAAGTACGTTCTATCAGGATTGTTATTCCCTAACGATTTTGGCCTTCTTCCTTGATAGATGAATGAAATTGTATTGCAGGAACGGGTAATATGAATAGGTTTTGATCATATTTTTTAAAATCTCATATTGCTTTTTCCCAGTTCACAATTAGACTAAGACTAAGACTATTGAAGTGAGGAGCGTCATTTTATGAAGTTACTCGGAAGAGATTTTTGTCCCCCCCCCCCCCCCCCCCCTCTTCAACCCCTTCTCCCCTTCCCCCCTTAAAATGCTACTTGATCACAAAGGAGGAATTATAAAGGAATATTAAAGAAATATTAGAATTTCCTTAGCATGATAACCTCCTTGCCTTCTAGGCCCACGGCACTCTTGTGTACCCCTGGGAGCAGCAACAACTAGGTTCACCCTACCTCATACGATGGTGCTAAAATAATGTTCGACTTCGCCAAGGGTCATCCAGAATTCACATCAAAGCGGAATTATCTTATCAAAGTTTCCACGACAGATGCCCGAACAACTTCAAAACTTTTATTATGCAAATTTTAGAATGTTTTATATGCGATACAAAATATTCACAAATCAATAATTTTTACGAATCAGCTTTGTGAAGCCTCAAAAGGACGCACTATTTTTGCGCCACCCGACATAATTTTAAATGCTGAATGGGTTATAGTTCATTTATCTGTGTGAGCTGTTGTGAGTGGAACCCATCTCTATTTCCTTTCTTTTCTGCTTCTTCCCCGTTTTTCCTGACTGACGTGGATAATCGGGGATGATAATTGGGATATAATTTTTTTTCCATAGCAAGATGGTTAAAGAAACAACTGGAGCGCGATGAGGGCCTTGGGTTCTCATTATCTATTCTTCACCTGGTTCTTTCTTTCAAAAGAAAAGCCTTGATTATCAAATTTCATACTAAGTTTCTGCATATTAGTTTTCATCGCTAAGAACGGCCTTGACCTATTGAAGACCTCAACCAAATTCAAGACATTTTCGTACGATGATAGGCATTTTCTGTTCCTAGACATTTTTACGCGCGATTGAAAAATATAAAAAAATTCTATCGAGTCGTATCTAAAAAGAGCTTGAAGTCGACACCCTTACCCTACACAAAATGGATCTAATGGAATGACAGGACAGAATAAACTAGGCAAGCCCAGTTCGATAGTGGGCATGCTTTCAATGACTGTTGTGATATCCTCCTGCGCATCTAGGTTGAGTCCTGTCCCTGCGCCTTCTTGAGATCCGAGGAGGCTCACAGTCGCTCCTGACTTTCCCATTGTGAGCAAATTCAAAAGTCAAATTTCGCCATTAAAATTCGGTATTTTCATGAATTTTTTACGGTAACTTTTCTCATCCATTCCCTTGCCAATTAACTCAGTAATTTGGTGAAAGTTACTTCAGTTTCTTTGTAACGACGAAATGGTGATATAAACGCCAGAAAGAGTAGTCTTAAAGACCACAGTCTCATTCAGGGAAGGAGATCTAAAAAAAAATTGAGTTCCATCATGAAATTGCTAGTCGCTCTAGTTCAGGGGTTCTTAACCTGGGGTCCATGGAAAATTAAATATATAATTGAAGGTAGATCCCAAAAAAAAATTTTAATTACAAATCCAGGTGTTCCAAAGTTTCTGATAACCGGGGGTGGGGGTCCATGGGTAATATTTGAGGATCTGGAGGGTCCGTAGGTGCAAAAAGGTTAAGAACCCCTGCTCTAGCCGATGCTGAACTTTTCTGCCCCCGTTCCAGTCTCTGCAAGTTCCAAATCTGATATCTTTCATACGGTCGCCTGTCTACCCTTTTCCCAATCCTTCCACTCGACAGGAGCGGTCTCATACTATATGGAGGGCTCTCTTTCTTGGGAGAGTTGATATACACGGGAGGCAAATTCCTCATGATGAATCTGTTTCCTCGAATGTTAGAACAGGTCTGAAGCAAACACGAGAAGTTCTCCTCAGGATCTCTCTGTTCCTTTCATTATTTTCGCAAAGGAAATGTACACGAGATATATTCCCAGAGCCCAGTTCTCCACACAACTTCGTTGCAGCTCGATGGGGAACTCGGTAAGGGTTCATTAATTCTGGGAGTCTTCATGAAAATCTCACTGAGTTTAAAGGATTTTTTATTTATTTACAAGAGCAACTTCATCTACCTGGAGTAAGCTATGGGAATTTTGAACGATCTGATTGAATTACGGCGAGAAAAAATATCGCCGTAAAGGTGAGGGATCGGTCCAACTAAATGCGTCTCTGTGCATGTGCTGAGATCCCATGCTTCTAGGTTCAGTTTTATTCAAAATGCCTCTTCACATGTCCTTATATTGCTCAACGTGCTTGTAGAAGCTGTGTCAATTTATTGACACGCCCTTAAAGAATGAGCACATGATTTTGAAAGCAAGCAAGATTCCCGAAAATTACAATATTTGACTATTTTCCACGGCTGTCTTCGTGCAAGTACCCAAGTAACACAAGATATTCCAGCAACGTTTAGGAAATGTTGATGAACAATGTTGCATCTATGTGTAAATGTCCAAAACGTCAACGTTGCTCAAATGTTGCGAAGGAACATTGCATTTACGTTGCAAATCGCTACTTATTCATTACATATACGTTGCAGATACGTTTCAGGATTTATGTTGCTGCAATGTTGATTAAAAACGTTGCTTCACGGGCACCTAATCTGGGCCTATATTGGCATTACGGAAAAGCGTAGGCTTCACTGGTCCTGAACTGGACCGATATTCGACCAATATTGAATTATTTATTTCATCCTTTCGTACATTCTCATCAACAGGACGAAGCCTGTACTGGTATAACCCCTACTCCATGCATAATACAGTATCTGTATCATGTACAGGCAGGAGACAGAACATTTTTGGAGGTGATCTTCCCCTGGATGTGCTAAATTGCACAATACAGGAAAAGGTCCGACCGCAATGTTCTATGGAGTGTCCACGAGATCAATCCTTCGTTTCCTCAGCTAGTACCCAGGATGAGGATATGAAGTATTGAGATCGCAGACTCTCTACCATCGTTTTTATTGTCCCGTTCTTGGAAAGGGTTCTTTTTGGGAATATGAGCTTTTTCTATCTTGACCCCATTAATCTGTCTAGAAAATGAAGATAACAGGTGATGAAGTGTCCGTGTTCATTGATTCCTATAATGAGACAATGTGAGACATATGGCAAGGTACTAGACATTCCTGTGCGGGACTATTCCAGGGAAAGGGAGAAGGGCACTTGTGTGTACTGTGAGAAAGCGAGACTTACGTCTCCATCTCGTGGCAAGGATGACAACTTTACGATTCTCTAAAACTTCTAAGTCCATGTAGTATCAGAATGTTGTCGCTACGTTGTCGATGTCAAGAGTGTCAACATTCTCTTAATGTTGATAGCTAATGTTGCAATGACATTCGTAGAAGTGTCGCAGCAACATTCCAAGTGAAAACATTGAAGCAATGTTTTCTCAATGTTGTACAGCAACTTGCAACATAGAGCAACATAGGCAACATTTCAAAAACGTTTCATCAATATACTGTGTTACTTGGGTAGGGGCTGGCTAGGCTTCGAGCTGGCTGGGAACTTCAGATCCTGGTTGCGGATGCGTTGAGTATTTTTCCCTTCAACTCGACCATCAGCAGTAACAATTGATGTCAGATTCATACTTTGTTATTGGGCCTCCATGCAGGAACCACCGAAAGAGATCATTGTCGTACAACGTCCTTATACTCTGGAGACTTTTTTGCAATCTCTTCGAGCCAGGGTGCTACATATATTTCGACTTGAGGTTAGCACGAGAACTAGCATTTTTCATTGGAATACTCTTCGAGTTATTCACTAATACGGGACGGAAAACTAATCCAAAGAGACATCGGGGGGGGGGACTCACTTTCGTAGCATGGAGATCCCGAAGGGTGTCATGTCCCGAGAGATGCCTTCCCACGACTTCATGATGGACATTTTTTGCCTCACG